CCCCCCCCCCCCCCCCCCCCCCGCGGAGCGGTGCCCGTGGGCGCCGTACCCGTGAGCAGTGTCCCGTGAGCGCCGTGCCCATGGGCGCCGTGCCCGTGAGCAGTGTGCCCATGAGCACCGGCCTCAACACGACTGACGTGTGTGTCCATTAGCGAAATGAGTCCTGGGGAGCAGAAAGGCTAAGCGATTTGTGAATTTGGAAACCGTCAAAAAACTTCCCACGTAAATTAACGGTAAATGCTTTTCTGCTTTATGCCGTTTCAGCTAAGGAAGGTGTCACAAAAACCTGGGCATCCACACAACACAATGCCACTCAGCCACAGGGAGTGGAACCCTGGTACGTGTGCCGTGTGACCACGCGGATGACCACGGAAAAGGTGCTACGTCAAAGGAGCTGCACACGGAAGACCCACGTGAGATGATCCCATCTGGAAAGTCCGGAACAGGCAGACAGAAAAATGGGTTAGGGATGGCCAGAGGTGGAGCAGGGGGCGGGGGGTGGAGAGAGACAGCTCAAGGACACTGGTCTGCTTCAGGACAAAATGCTGGAACGCAGATGGCTACACGACTCTGAACCACGGGGCTGTACGCTCGACACGGGTGACTTGTGAGGTGTGTGAGTGACAGCTCATTAACGGGGCCTTACAAGAATACACGGGTGGTAAACACAACACCCTCCTCTGGACACTGGCTCTCCTGGGGGCTCTGGGTGACCATCACCTTCCACTGCCTCCTGGGGTTTCCCTGACTGGCCCACGGAGGGCCTGTCCTGACAGGGAGTGACACGGCCAGGGAGACAGGAGCCGCCGCAAGCCGCCCACAGGCAGCCAGGAGCCGACGGTTACGCCGGCCGCACAACGCAGTTGATAAGAGAAGGACCACAGCGGGTCGGGGAACCACCTAAAAACAGCACAGAGGAAGCCACGAATACTCTAGTTTGAGGGCTGCAATCAGGTGGGATTTTCGTTTTTTCAGAACTTCCTACTGTGGTTGTTTCCTCACCTTTTAACCAAAGAAATTTCAACCAAAACAATGAGGCGTAGGCCGTCCCCGCCGCGCACACAAGCCTGCACAGACGGCAGCGGCACCTGGTCCCGGGGCGCCTGCCGGGGAAGAGACCAGGCCTCCGCGTGTCCGCCTGGCCCCTGCCCGGGCCCAAGGTGTGCTGGGTGTGCTGGTCTTCCCCAGTCGCCTGAAGAGCAGAACTGTACCCTCCAGGGGAACCCATCAGCCCCCCGCTCTGCCCACCCAACTGAGCTGACTGGGGGCCCAGGGCGCGCCTGCCCCAGCAGGCAGCAGCTTGAGGGACCGGGCTTCAGTTAGAGACTGTACGGGTCTCTCACTCGGCTCACCCACACACCTCAGCCCAGCAGGGACCCGGCTGGCCGACCCAGGGGCGCCCACCTGTCACCAGTGCAGCCCTGACCGTGGCCGCAGCACTGCCTGGAGGCCACGGGGAAGCCACATGGCACTGACTCACACCTACGGTCCTTCTGATCCGCATTCCTGGGCCAGGGGCTCCTCACAGCACCCCGGTTCGGGTCAGGGTCCTGGGCAGGGTCCGGCAACACACAGTGCCTCCCTCAGAGCCTTGAGGACGAGCAGCGGGGCTGAGACGGAATTTAAAGGCGCCGAGGGGAGACGGGCACCGCGGGTCTGCCCACAAGTGAGGGACGAGCAGAGCCAACCCCCTGCCTGGGACACGCCAGTGCCAAGCAGGGGGGCCGACAGAACCGCTCACGGTCAGCTCCAGACACAAGTGTACGAAGAGGACATCCGGAAAACCAGTTAGCGCTTGGTGTCCTCTTCCAAATTCTGAGACTTGTGTGAACTTTTCTTCCACAAAACAGGTACGAGACATAAAGGCTACTGGGAACGAAGCAGTTTACCCCGGGGGAGTCTTCCCGCACAAACGCACCAGAAGCGGGACGCGGCGGCAAAGAGCTGCACAGCGTTTTATTCAGAGACACCCGGGTGAGGCTGGTGCCCGGACAGGGAGCGCTGTCCGCAGGGCAGTTTCACGTCTCAAGGGTTCCTGACCAAGGTCAGCACAGCGTCAGCACTTTCTGGGACGCAGGCACGAGCGAGGGACCAGACCCTCCGCGGACACAGCAGGTCAGGAGCTGCTGCCTTCCGGGACACAGTCTAGGAGCAGGGCCCCCCACGGGCCTGGGCCCCCCTCACCTCAGCACAAAGCAGAGGGGCCACAGGGGAAGCGCCTCCCGGCTCGTGCTGGACCTGGTGGGGTCCCTTCTGGCTCCGTAGCGGCTGCTGCTTCGTCATCTGTGGCTCCTGTCAATCGGCCACCTTCACTCTGGCCCCCGCCCGAGGCCGCCGCTGCCGCCTCTTCCGAGCTCCTTGCACAGCTGGGCCCCCGGTCTGCTCCTGGGGTCCAGTGCGCTCAGCCCCTGAGCCCCGCCGCCGCCGCCGCCGCAACATCCTCTCCGATCCGGAGCTCAGGTCCGGACGTAAGTCCTCCTTGCCGCCTTTCCCTACAACAGCGAGGCCACGTGAACAAGGCACCGGGGAGGCCTGGTTACCTCACTTGCATCCTAAGCAAAAGTGCTGCTGGCTCCAGGGCCACACATGGGACACACAGACATACAAAGAAACCCGACATAGAAACACAGAAGCACTGATGGGCTCGGGAGCATCCCAGCAGCACGGAGGTCACGTGAGGTCACGGTGGCTCCCGGCCGGGCAGGCGGACCAGACGCAGACCTTCAGGAAAGCCAGCGGGCGGGCTCAGGAGAGGGAAGGGGCGACTCGAGGGGCGAGGAGGCTTGGAACACAGGCTGGGGCAGAGCCAACCTGCTGCATGACCAGGCCGGTGACAGGGCCTGGGGGGCCCGCCTGGCATCGCCGCACGAGCTGGGCCAGATGTAAGCCCACCGAGCGGAGGTGGCCTGGCATGAGCAGCAGCTGGGGTGACCCGGGAGACCCCTCACCGGGTGGACACCAGGACATGAGACGTTCAGCCCCCGTGAGCGAACACAGAGGGCTCGTGGCCGGGGTGGGGCCGCCACACACAGCCCGCGTCCGCGGCAACACGCAGCCCCGTGCCCGGTGCTGCAGGGCGTGGGGGCTCCGAGCAGCGCCTGGCAGGGGCCTAACCCCAGTGCCGTGCACAAGCCGGGGTGAAGGGGCAACAGAAGGGAGACAGCCAGCCGGCACCAGAGCCCCGTCACCAGCAGGCACCGCGAGTCCTACCTGCCTTGTTCTGCGACCCGGATTTGGGCAGACGCTTCTTCGTCTTCCTCTCCCGCCCCCCTTCCTGCAGGTACCTGTAGGCCTTTTCTGGAACGTCCTCCTCAGGGAAAAGTCCTAAGGACCAAGGCAGGTGATCAGGAGGCAGAAGGCGGGTTGTGATGCTGATGCTGTGAGTTCAGGGCTGCAAACCGCCACATGGGTGTGGGCCACCTCTGGGCACCCCGTGCGAGAAATCTCCACGGGCTCCGGCAGGAAGTGGGGCGGGCGGGTCCCTTCGGCACCTACCTGATGCATTCTCTAAAAACCTCATGCTGAGAGCGCCAAGAGCCCCTCCGGGCCAACGGCGCTGTTCCCTATGCTGGCAGGGGCGGTGCGTGTGAAACCCACCAGACATACACACGTCACCGTACGTGAATCTTCCCTAAACACCCCGAACTTCGGCTCACGGGGAGCACAAAGCAGTTGGAGGTAGGGTGTGATGGGGGGAGGGAGACACCCGATAATGGGAAGCCCCGACGGTGGAACCGGACACCCTCCCGACGCCACTGTTTACGCTTCTCGAGGGGAGGCAGGGGAGGGTCCATCTCCAGTCACAAGCGGAGAAGACATCCTTCAGAAGAAGCCCCGTCACCAGCCCCTCTGGCCACACCCTGAGAGGCGCTGCAGTCCACACGGCGTGCGGGCAGCAGGGCGGGCCTGAGAACTCCCTACGCACCCAGATTCTCGGGCACCCTGCCCGGGGACCCGCGCGGGGTCACAAGCGGGGCTGAGCCCGTGCGCTGGGCCAGGGCGAGCGGCAGGAGCCCCCGCCCCCGCAGGCCAGTCGTGCCGGGAAGACGAGGAGAGCCGGGGCTCGCCGGGACGACAAGGCTGCGGTCTTGGCCTGAGGTGCTCACCTTCAGCGAGGTCCTGCAGCCTGGAAAGAGAGACGGGCGCTCAGCGCGGCCGCTGCACGAGGGTGGAGGCCGGGCCCCGTGTGCACGAGCCACCCCGCAGGGAGCCCCCCACCCGTGCTCTGAGGTCAGGACGGAGGGGAGGCACCAGGCCAAGGGGCCAGGGTGAGGCCAAGGGTGGAGGGAAGGGCAACTCACTTCCGGATCACCTTGTAGAGGCGCTTCCTGTTCTGGGAAGGGGTGTCCCGCTGACTGGCCGCTGCGAACAGTCTGCTGGCCACCGCCTCGTAATCAAACTGTTGCCCAAAAACAGATGCCGGTCACCTCCCAGGTGCTCTGGGAACGGGAACCGAGCAGAGAGCACAGGGACCGGGTCACAAGAACGTGCCCTGATGGCGTCCTCGAGTCCCCTCCGCTAATGCTGATTGTGTACACGTGTGAGGCAGTGAGCGCGACCCCAGTGCCGCCCACAACGTGAGGGGCCCAAGCGGGCCGGCCTCTCTGTGACGCCCCCACCCCCACCCCGGGCAGCCACCTGAAGAAGAGCAGAAGACACGTCACGTTAACTCTGACAGATGCTACTTTGGCCGGGACACCTAATTCTTACTCGCTTAACAAGGAATCAACATTTGAAAAGTTAGTAGTAAGCACTGTGCGATCCCAACGGGCCCGAAGCCACAGGTCTGTTCACCGGGCTCTGATTCCGAGCCCAGTGCTCCGAGAGGCAGCAGCGAGCATGGCACTTGCAGGGACTCCGTGCTGCTGCACCTGAGGGGCTGGAGCCAGGGCGCGAGCCCAGGCCACCCACCTGGAGGACGGGGCCCGTGCTGTCCTCGCCGTCTCCCGCCAGCTCGTCACTTGTGTCAGGTGCGGCCCCGCGCACAGAGCCTGGAATAAAAGGGCCCCGTGAACAGGTGCCCGCGCCCAGTGTGCAGGGGACCCCAACATGAACACCTGGGAACCCGGAGCCCCATGTGCCAGGGCCCGGGACCCAGGCAGGTGCAGGCCGCGGTGGGGGTACCGGCGGCCTCACACTGAGGGGCAAGGTGCCAGTGCAGGCCCGGAAATGAAAGCGACGTCCCAGAGGAGGCGGGGCCTGAGCAGGCCTGAGAGCGAAACTATGAGAGAATCACAGTGCGCGTCTTACGTAGCCAACGTAGCGTCAGAAGGTCCAGAGGCAAGGAAGGGGGGCTAGATCCCGCCACCACAGGACGGCCCTGATCTTGGGCCACAAAGACCGTGTTCAGACCACTCGGGGCTGTGCTGTCGCTGCCTCCAGAAGGGTTCTGGACACCAGGCAGGCGTGTATGACAGAGATGGGGCGGCGAGGCCACAGGCAGGCTTGGGAGCCTGCAGGACACTGCTGGATCCGCCTGTGTCGGGGCGACTCGGCCATGGAGGAGGATGGGCAGGGCGTGCAGGGCGGCGGGATCAAACGCAGGGGGCGCGGGGGGTGGGGAATACGAACACAGCCGCCAGAAGCTCTGCAGGGCGCGTGAAGACCCACAGGGGTGGGGGGGGGGGGATGGACCCTTGAATCTACGCAGTCAAATGACCTTCCGTAAGGGCCCTAGGACCATTCACTGGGGAAGGACGGCTCTTCCACGGACAGAGCTGGGAAAACCGGACATCCACGTGCGAGAGCGCGAGGCTGGGTCCTGACCTGGCACCAGACACAAAGATCGGCTTCACGTGGATGAAAGCGCTACGTGCAAGAACTCAAACGATAAACGTCCGAGAAAAAACAGCAAGACCTTCATGAGCCCAGACACAGCAGGACTTCTCAGGTGTGGCCCAGAAGACGCACGTGACAAGGGACAGGCCACCTGAACTTTATGAGAATGAAAACTTCTGTGCGCTGAAAGCTGCTATCAGAAGGCAGCACACGAAAGGAAGAAGATACCTGCAAACCACACACCCGACCAGGCGTGAGCGTCCAGGATGCACGGGGAGCCCGAGGCTCAGCAGCACCCCTGCCCCACCCAAAACCAAAGGCCTGGAACCACCAAGCGCACGAGGATGCTCTGCACCTCGGATGTCCCGATCGTCAGGGACACGCAGACCAAAGCCACAGCAAGACACCCTCACGCCCACGGGGAGGCTCCCGCCAACAGGACACCGGACCCCCGTGCATGGCTGGTGGGAATGCAAAATGGCGCAGCTGCTGTGAAAACCACGTGTCGGGGGGTCCTCATAAAATTTAAGGAATTACATGTGACCCACAATCCCACCTTGGGGGATTTGCCCCCGAGAACTGAAACACGGACTCCGAGAGATCCTTGTTCAGCCACGTTCACTGCTGCATTCTTAATAGCCACGATGTGGAAATCACCCCAGGGGGGCTGGATGCACATAACGTGGTCTATACGCAGCGGAACACTATTCAACCTTCAAGGGAAACAAAGTAGAGAAACACAGACGTGTGCGTGAGGATGTGACGCTGAGTGAAAGCAGCTGTGGCCGCGTACCGTGGGATCCCCTTATATGAGGCCCCAGAGCAACCAGAGTCACAGAGATGGAGAGCGAGGGGGGCGAGTGGCTGAGGGGAGAGGGGTCAGGGTTTAACAGGGACAGAGATTCAGTATGGAAAGATGGAAAGTTCCAGAGCCAGACACTGGGGACAGCTGCGCAACCGCATGACCGCATACCACCACCCAACTGAACGCTTAGAATGGTTACCGTAGTAAACTCTGTTTACTGTGTATTCTCGCAGAGTCAGGGGCAGGGAGAGTCCTGAAGCTGGTGGCAGACGCACCCCTGCAGCCACAGGCCACAACCCAGGCCACAGGCCACCTGAGATCAAGTGACGTCCCACAAGGACCCACATTAGCATCAAGACTCCAAAGAGACCCCAAGTCCTTCTGTGGGACGTCACCCACAGCCCGTCTCCCAGCGGTGCACCCCAGCACTCACTCACCCGCCCCAGCTTGTGGGCACCTCGTCTGTACCTGGTGCTACTCCCGGCACTGGGGACACAGCCATGAGCAACAGAACTCCCCGTCCTGGGGGAGCCAACATCCGGTGGGGCAAAACCGACAAAAGTGACTTATCTAACTTTAAGTGATTTGTGCCAGAAAATGCGGCATCTTGCAGAGAAACCCAGTGAACGAGGCCAGGCAGGGGCTGGGAGGCTGTGTTTAGACAGGGTGGGCCGGGTGGGCCCAGCGACAGAGGGCAAGGACCGGAGAGGAGGCGTAAGCAGGGCAGAGGCGCTGGGAGGATCCGAAGTCAGAAAGGAGCCAGGGAGTCAGAACAGCGTCCTGGGAAGAGAGGCTGGGGGGGACCCACATGCTGGTTTCTGAAGGCCGCCCGGGTCTGCCGGGCCGAGGACAGAGGCTGGGGGACAGCTCAGAACACGGGGACCAGGCCAGAGGCGAAGGCAGGGACCCCAGCAAGCCCCCAAAGCCTGCCGGGCCAGGACAGGCGCCGGCACGCTGGCTGCGCTGTGACCCTCACCTCTGCGCGACTCCTTGGACGGCACGTGCCGCTCCCGCTCGTCCTCCGACGGCCCGCCCCCCTCGTGCGCCTCCAGCTCGTTCATGAGGTCCTCGATGGCAAACGGCGCCTGTTCCACGATCGTTTCAAAGACGCCCCGAGTGATGTTATGCAAGACCAGGGAGCTGCGGGGAGGCCGGAGCCGGAAGCGGGCCAGTTAGGTGGACGCCCATCCATCCATCCCCACCCACGCGGCCATGCCCCTCCCCGCCCCCCGTGCCCCCGTCATGCACAAGGGACTTGGCCTCTCTCCCCGAACGGGAGCCGCGCCTTCCCAGAGGTGGGCACCCCGAGGGAACTCCATGAGAAAGAACTGGCCGGGGAAGCCCCTGCCACTCACTCCTTAGTCTGGGCGGCGATTCTGCAGAAGGGCTCGATAAACTTGAGGTTCTGGTCCGCCGTCAGCTACGGAGGAAAGAGACAGGCACGGCCTGAGGCCTTCATGCCTGAACACAGGCCAGGGGCTCGGCCGCCACCCTCAGCCACCATCCTCACCTCAGCGGCGCCCACTTTGCTCAGCTCCTCCAGGAAGATCTCAAGGAAATGGCTCTTCACCCCGTTGGGGGCCTGGCTGTCGGGGTGCAGGATCTCCGTTGTCAGCAGCTCCAGCAGCTGCTCCACCTGCCTGAGGAGGGAGACAGGCAGGTACGGCAGGCGGCCCCCGCGGGCGACGACCCCAGCAAGGACCCTCTACCCAGTGCGGAGCTCCGACGGGGCACCATCACGGGCAAGCTCCCCCCTTCCAAGGCGCTGCCTTCCGCGGGTGCCGCCATGGTGATCCGGGTCTGTCCCGGCACAAAGGACTTGTAATTACAGAGGTGGGACCGCTGTCGGCGCCCGCACGTGGGGCAAGACTGCATCTCAGCTCCAAAGGCCTTCCCTTCTGTCACCGTGGTGGGGCCTGGCGTGACGAGAGGCTGCCCCAGCTCGTGTCGCACTGCTGTGTCCTCATGGGGAAGGCACACCAGGACAGAGCCCAAGGAGAGGAGGCGGGAGGCCGGTTCCCTGGTTCCACAGAGTGCGTGGCCCGGTCTGCCACCCCCCCAGCATGCTGGTCTCCGTGGCCTCAGAGGCCTGGGGCTCCAAGGTTAGAGAGCCCTGGCGACCAGTCTCTGCCACTCTAGATGCATCGAGGCGCTTGGTAACTAGCATTCCCTTCGCCTGACAGTAAAACGCGCCTTCTGTAACGAGCCGCGTGGATGAAGCGATGCTGGGCCGCTCAGGGGACTCACCGGCTGGGGAAGGGTGCCGCTGGCGGCTCAGCAAAGGGACCCCTCACCCAGGCCAGTGCCAGTAACCAGGCTCAGGCAACCGCGTGGGCCGGCTGGGCGGGGACAGGCAGCACTGCTGACCCCAGGCCAGCGGGAGGTGACCAGCTTCTTCTAAACGATCTTTGCATTCGATTCCCGGCAAGGAGGGCAACCAGAGTTAACAGAAATAAGACGTCCCTTTAACATGATGCTCTGCATAGGCACCGGCCACCTACGGGGACCCAAATCCTGTCCGGTGGGCAGGCTGGCCTCGGGGCCCCCAGAATCACTCACAAGCAGAGGCACCCCTCCCTAAACGCGAAGTCACTCATGATCAGGGACTACGGTCTGCTCCTGCTGAGCGTGTTTACGTGCGAGAACGCACCCCAGGGCCAAGGACGGCGCCTCCGCAGAGGACGAACCGCCTGGGCCGGACACACGCCTGGTGCGGCAGCGGCCGGAGGCAGTGGTTTTAGGGTCCACATACTTAAAATGAGTTCCTTTGGCATACAATTCTTAGTCACAAGACCATTCAGGACACATCATTTCCGACCCCCTCCCCTTGCCCCACCCCGACACCACGCAGCAGAATGCGGACGCGAGGGCGTCTTCACGCGTCATCTGCACCTCCTGCCCCGCACGCAGACCCCGGCAGCACCTCGTTATCTGCTGCACTTAGCATTGCCGTTCAACGCTCACAGAAGCGTTCTGAGCTCCTTACACTGGGAACGTGTCACTCTCACGAGAAAACAAGCGTAAAGAAACAATTTTAATTTTAAAAGCTTTAAAAGGGCAACTCAGAAACCCATCTGGTGCCGCGGATCTCGGCCCGCCTCCTGGAGGCGTCGACAGTGGCTGCCACCACTGGGACACACTGCCCAGGTGGCCTTGCCGGGCATGGTCCCAGGAGTGGGGAGGAGGGCTTGGGCCTGGAGCCGGGGGAGCCCCTGGCTGGCTGCAGACCTGGGGCTCCTGATACGGGGCACGCTGACCTCCCCATTACAGACGCCACTGTCAAAAGTGTCAAGTCTGAATGAATTAAAAATGTCTACAACTAGACACAAATAGCACAATAACAGAACCAAACGCACCACCTTATACTAAAAACAAAAGCGCCTTAGCTGTGTGTGAACCACGCTGAGAAACAGGATTAGGTTATTTATAATGAGAACTCAACTTGGATTCAGAGCAAGAACTCACCAACCAGCGAGGCTGAAAACACTCATTCCCACAAACACAAGAACCAACTATAATTTTATAAATCCCTTCACATGAAGCACCATCGGGTCACCTTTAACGGGAAGGCTGACTTCTCTTTTGTGACAAACTACAGAAGAAACACATGACCCAGCCCCCCCATGAAGGAACGCAGGCTCGCCCGGAGCAGCACAGCGGCTCAGGATGCGTGGTGGTACTGACCTTTCTTCCCACCCCTGCATCTTCAGGGCCTTCAAGGACTCGCTCAGGACCATCCGCATGAGCTGTGGCATGAACGGAGACCCTCGTTAGTGGGAGCAGAGTGCCGGCTTCCCCAGAATCCCCTCCGCCCCGGTCACCCCTGGGGCCCAAAGCGCAGAGCAGGCCCCCCAGAGCTGCAGTCGGACAGGACAGCAAGCCTTCGGGGCTCTGAGTCCGGAGAAGGCACCGCTGCCCCCACGATGGGATGTCACTGCCTTCCAAAAGCACCGGGAATTCCAGCTCTCAGGGGACACGTTCAGGGGTGCTGGCAGCGCCAGAATCAGAAGCCAAACGGAAGTGTCTCGTTTCAGCACTGGGAGCAGGGAACCACGTGCGGGTCCCCCCGGGGAGGCCAAGCACTTTGGGAAAACCGGGTCTGAAACAGGACGGCCCCCCTGGGTCCCCCAAGGACTGCTCTCCCCAACACTGGACGCATCTGCTCGCTCTCACCCTTCACATCGAGTCCTGACTCCTCCCGCAACTCCCCGCTACAACTGCCCTTCCACCCGGTCTCCCTCCCGTCCAGAGGCGAAGCAGCACGCCCTGAGGGGTCCGGCAGTAGCGAAGGGACAGAGGGCGCACAGGGCACAGCTGGCGCCCAGAAGACCCAGTCCCTGGGGACACAAGGGCCCATGTGCCATCACTCCCGGTGCCCAAGGCAGGGCTGTGCTGCTGGCCGCACTCACACGGGCCCCCACCTAGCACAGACGCCATCCTGCCGGGGTCACAGCAGCTACGTCTCAGGGGACGGGGAGCCAACTTACACAGAAGCCCCTCTGTCCCATAAGCCTGTACCCCGTGTGAGCACCCAGCCACCGTGGCCCTGCCCTGAAGGTTCTAGCGCCCACCCTCCTTCCTTCCTGAGCTCCATGCCCTGCCCGCTGGCTGGCTCTCACCTTGACACCTGCGACACACAGTGTCCACACGGCCCCATCTGGGCTGGCAGCCAATCCGAGTAAGGAGAGCCCCGCAGGGCCCGTCCCCAGCGAGGCCCAGCCAGCACCCCACCGCGTTCCCCCACTGGGGCCTGCCCTCAGCTAGCAACCCTGGCCCAAGTCCCAGCGGACACCACTGCAGTAACGAGACTGTGGTCCACGTGGGGAGGAGGGAGGGCGGCGAGATCCCGAGTCTATAAAGCTCCACTTTTCCTGCATTTCTGTCAGCAAACGAGTAGCCCAAGTTCGCAGGAACCTACGTTCACAGGAAGGCAGCGTGTGGAAACCGGCGACCCCACCTATAACTACCAGGTGACTCATCCTCACACAGAGAAAGGTATCACAGGCGGGAGCCCGCTGTGGCCCCGAGGGTCTGGGCCGCGGGCATGAACCTCACGCAGGCTTGCCGGCTCCCACAAGTCCACGGCTGCTTCACCAGGGATGCGCCACCAACTCCCCCCAGACACCCCTGCTCTAGACCAAAACCCGCGCATCAAGTTCTGAAGCGTCCTTGCGCTCGCCAGCCCTGAGATGGGGTGGGTGCTGGAGAGGCCCAGGCCCGTGCTCCCCTCAAGGCCGTCAGGGCAGGAAAGGCTCAGAGGCCACACCCCTTGGTGCTGTGCCCCCACCCTGCGCCCTGCCCCTCCCCCACTGGCACCGCGGGGCCCTCCTCACCATGTAGAACTTATCCAGGCGCAGTCTGTCAATGCCAGGCCACTCGCGGTTCATGGTTTGCCAGAACGTCTGAAGGAACAGGTGCCCTGAAGGAGAGAGGCCAGAAGGGGGTCACGGGAACGCAGAGGCTGCTCTCAGAAGCGAGGTGACAGAGTGTGGGGAAACGCGGTCAGGACGGCATGCGCGGCCAACCCCGGGTCCCCAGCCCCAGGCCGTGGAGCTCAGAAGCAGGGTCAGAACCAGGCTTAGAAAGGGGACTAGGGGGACCTCAGATGGCAAGCAGAGCCCAGCTACAACCTCAAACCGCAGCCACGGCCTCTGAAGAACAGGCGCACAGAGCTGGCAAAGCCGCCAGCCAGTGAAGGGGCTGCTCCAGCCAGCACCCGCCCCTGACACCTGGCCCCCACACCCGCTAACCCGCTCAGGCACATGACACTACGGATAACACGAAGTCACACACACAGTGCGACAGGCTGTGTCCCCCAAATGCACGTCGAAGCCCTAACCCCAGAATCTTGGAATAACTTTATCTGAAGATCAGGTCTTTAAAGAGGTGATGAAGGTAAAATGCGAGCAGTGATGTGGCCCTAAGCCAATCTGACTGGTGTCCTTGTAAGAAGAGCTCAGGACACAGACACACAGAGGGATGAACAGGTGAGGACAGCGTCTGCACAGCCAGGAGCAAGGCCTCGAGGAACCAGCCCTGCCCACGCCTTGTTGGGCACCTGGAGTTGGGCACCACAGAACTCTGCAGGGAGCGCAGCAGCAGCCCGAGCAGGGGCTCCCGCTGGCTCTCGGTCTCGGGACGCCAGCCCCCCACGCCTGGCAGCTGGCGCCCAGCAGCTCTGCCCTCATCCCAGGGCCTCCCCAGGGCAAGGGTACTCACGTGCCTCTGTGCTCTGAAAAGCATGGATGAGCTGGGAAATGGTCCTCCCTAGTTCCTCCTGTGTGGTACACAGTGAAAATCACTCTCAGACCCTGAAGAAACGTGGTCTTACAAGAAGCCACAGCAGAGAGGGGGGTGCCCGGGGGGCTCAGCAGGTCAAACATCTGACTTCTGCTCAGATCATGATCTCACGGCTCTTGAGTTCGAGCCCTGCATCGGGCTGTGTGCTGACAGCTTGAAGCCTGGAGCCTGATTCTGATTCTATGTCTCCCTCTCTCTGCCCCTCCCCACTCATGTTCTGTCTCAAAAATAAATATTAAAAAATTTTTTTCATGTAAAAGGATGTTATTACAATATTTTTTGGGTTTCTTGTTTATCTACTTATTTCACTGTTTTTTTTAATTTACATCCAAGTTAGTCAGCATATAGTGCAACAATGATTTCAGGAGGAGATGCCTTAATGCCCCTCACCCATTTGGCCCATCGCCCCTCCCACAACCCTCTGTTTATTCTCTAAAGAGTCTCTTATATTTTGCCCTGCTCTCTATTTTTATATCATTTTTGCTTCCCTTCCCTTACGTTCATCTGTTTTGTACCGTAAATTCCTCATATGAGTGAAATCACATAGTAACGGTCTTTCTCTAATTTCCCTTAGCATAATACTCTCTGGTTCCATCCACGTAGTTGCAAAAGGCAAGATTTCATTCTTTTCAACTGCCGAGTAATAATCCATTGTATACATAACCCACATCTTCTTTATCCATTCATCCATCGATGCACATTTGGGCGCTCTCCATACTTTGGCTACTGTGGATAGCGCTGCTATAAATATGGGGGTGCATGTGCGCCTTCGAAACAGCCCACTTGTACCCCTTCAACAAATACCTAGTAGTGCAATTGCTGGATCGTAGGGTAGTTTCATATTTAATTCAAAAAAATGTTCTTAATGAAAAACAAAAAAAAAGCATCAAAGCTGTAAAACTGCACCCAGTGTCTTGGGCCACATGAAATGCCCATCTGTCCACCCACTGATCCCGCTGCTCCGGCTTCTGCTGGCCCCTGCCCCCCACCACACACACACACACACTCACCTGGAGGAGTGGCTTGTCCTGCATCCACATGCAGTAAAACAGTCCTTTCCAGACCTTCAGCAGCTCATCGTGAGTGAAACCACCTGCACCGGGATCGGCAACACTCAAGTAAAGCCAAGGTTTTAACGCCAGGAACAAAGCCAGAGAAAAGCGACTCCCTGAATTACATCAAAGCCTCGCACCGTAAGGGCACCTGGCCGTCTCCTCCCATGCCATCCTCTTGGCTCAGAACCCGCTGGGCCTGGGCCTAGTCTCCCAGGCAACGGCCATTCATTCATTCAATAAACAAGAACCTACAAGTATCTGTATTCCATTTCTGGACTCTCAACACAACGGGAATTTGATGGTCCTAAGTCACTCAGCTCTGCACTTGGCGTGTGCGCACTTTTGTGCCAGGCTTCAAATTTTAAAAGAAAAAGTTAAACCATTCAGATTAGTAAGGGAGACATAGAGAATCGCTTGAAATATTTACAGAGATCCTACATAAGGGCCTGGCACTCCGTTCCGGAAGCCACGTTTCTGACTTTAGCACCAGGAACGGACTCACCTGGAGGGTTCCGGACTCATTAGGGCTAGAATGGGACTCAATAATTTGCATTTCGAACACAAGTCCGAGTGACGCTGAAGCTGCTGATACAGGCCACGTTTTCAGAGCCAGCGTTAAAAGAGACCAGTTCACAAGAAGCATGTGCTCTGCCCTGGCAGAGGCTACACTGCAGTTAACTCACATCAAACCCAATAATTACACAAAGAGGAAACTGCCGACGGCAACAAATGCCGCACTGAGGGGAAAAGCCGAGCGCCCAAACCCCGGGTAGCAGAGATACGGGGACACACGGCCTGATGACGGCGCCGGTTCCCGGAGCGGGGATTCTGGGCTGAGAAAAGGAGCTAAGACCTGGAGAGGGGGTTCCACGAAGAGGAACACGTGGTCACCGCCCCCGCGGGGCCGCAGGTGGCTGCGGAGGGGAGGGGACGCAGGCCGAGAGCTCGGCGGGCAGGGGAGGGGAGCGTGGGGAGCGGCACTCGGAGGCCCCGCCGCGCCGGCCCGGCCACGTGGAGGTGGAGGTCCCGCGTGGTTCGCAGGCCCCACCCGGCCCGCGCCTCCTCCGGCCCCCAGCCGCCCCGCGACCCCCGCCGCGGTCCCACCCCGCAAGGCGCCCCCGCCCCCGCCCCGCCAGGCCCGCGCCAACCTGCCGCCCGCTGAGTCCTGGCGACGATGTATTTCCGGAGCTTCCTGACCGCCCGGTCCCGCGTCACCTGCTCGTTCCCCGCCAGACGCTGGGCCAGCTGGATCTCCGGGGGCAACTGCACGCGGGGACCCATGGCGAAAGCCACCGACCCCCGCACACCCGGGACCACGTCGCTTCGCCTGGGCGCGCGCGTGACGTCACAGACCGCGCCGCTCTCTCTGGGTCGTGCGCGTGACGTTACCGCCCTCGCTCGGCGCGCGCGAATGACGTCACGGACCGCGCCGGCCTCTCGCGGGGAGCAAATACCGCCGCCTAGCGGCCGGTCCAGAATGGCCGCTTCGCCTGGCTCTGCAGGGTGACCCTGCGCCCTGGACGCTCGGGGTTAAAGAGAGACCATTATGGGGCGCCTGGGTGGCTCTGTCGGTTGAGTGTCAGGAATCTTCATTTAGGCTCAGGTCCCGATCTCAGCGTCGGTGAGATCGAGCCCTGCATGGGGCTCCGTGCTGGCAGTGCCGAGTCGGCTTGGAATTCTCGGTCTTTCCCTCTCTCTCCCCCTCCCCCAGCGTGCGGGCGCGTGAGCTCTCTCTCTCCCCCTCTCAAAATAAATAAATAAACTTGAAAAAAAAAAAAAAGAGGAAGAGGTCATTAAGCGTGTGCCAGACATTTAGGGGGCTGCAGTTCACTCCGCCAGTGAGGGGGGCTCTCAGCAAGGGAAGCCAGAGAGCAAGCAGAGGGGCCCGTGCAGCGCCCCCGACCCTTGATGCAGGCGACAGACATCTGAAAAGGCAACAACGGAGGAAAAACATGTCTCGGGGAGGGGGTGTCGGCCGCACCCCAAATGGCCTGGCACCACCAGGGCACCGTGTACCAGTCTTCCCGAAGGGTCTGTCACAGCCGCTAACTCAGGAAAGGCAGGGAAGCCCTGGCGCTGCCTGGCCAACTGCTTGCTCCCAGGAATCGAGGGGCCCTTGAAGCGCAGCTCAGGGCTGGGTTTGCCAGCGCTGTCGTCGGACCAGAGCCTGGGTTAAACATCTCAAGAGAAGCCAAGAGCTCAAGAGAGGAGGGTTCGGGAAAGAGAAAGGTAGAAATTTGCTCTGGGTGCTGGCTATTGGGACACAGCGGACTCCAGCTTTACTAACTGGCCTCTCCACCGCTGGCAAGATGGACAGCCTCAAGGGTGTTTTCTAGAGTTTTCTAGAGACAGCCTCAAAGGTGCGTGTAAGAGGGCAGGCAGAGTGCATGGTCACGGGTGGGGTCTGGTATGTGCTCAGCCGCTGGTCACAGGCAGGGAAGGGGACGTGCTGCATGTAGTCTTCTAGACGCTCTGTTGCTATGAGGGCTTTTCTGGTCAGATGTTGCAATGGTGTGGTCATTGTCAACGTCAACGTCTCAAGAAAGTGCAACAAGGAATAACCATTGGCCTCTAGGGTTGAGAGGGCTCACTAACACCAGCATCACTTGCAGCACAGGCTGGCCGGAACCTTGCCCAGCCTTTAGGTCTGCACCCCTGCAGAGGAAGGCCCTCTACAGAGTGTGAGAAAACAGTCGTGAACCCGGGTCTGGGACAGTTACCGGACAGCTATCCTGTTCTCTTCACAAGTTAATGTCATAAACAAGGAAGGAATGAATGAGCATATAAAGGACGGAGAATGAAACCTACAAATATCGACTGGATCCTGGTTCAAAGAAAAAGCTGAAAGGTCATTTTGGAAACAATTGGGAAAGCTTGCATACAGGCTAGATGTTAGATTATAGTACAGAATAGTTTCTTTTCTCAGGTGTGACTCCTGTTTTTGTAGAATGGGGTTCAGCATGTTTTTTCTTTCTTTTTAATGTTTATTTATTTTTGAGAGAGAGAGAGTACAAACGAGGTAAGGGCAGAGAGAGAGGGAGACACAGAATCACAAGCAGGCTCCAGGCTCCGAACTGTCAGCACAGAGCCTGATGTGGGGCTCGAACTCAAGAACCGCGAGATCATGACCTTAGCCGAAGTCAGACACTTAACCAACTGAGCCACCCAGGTGCCCCATCAGCAGGGTTTTTCTTTAAAGGGCTATGTGTCCAGGGATCCCAAGATGACCCCCAGGCTCCCTGATTTGCTAGGACGATTCATGGCTATGATTTATGATGGCAAAAGAATACAAAGCAAAATCAGCACAGGGAAAAGACTTATAAACTGAGTCAAGGAGGAAGCTTCCAGAAGCTTTTCTCAGTGGGGTCACACAGAATTCACTTAATTCCCCAGCAAAGAGCTGTGACACATATGTGGGATGTCATTTACCAGGGAACTGGTCAGAGATCAGCACCTGAGGCTTTTACCCAGGGCTGATCCCATGGAAACCCCCGGCCTGGCTTGTACCAAAATTCCAACCCCCAGAGGGAGAGCGGGTGTTCAGCATAAGCCTGTGAAAATTAGCAAAGGGAGACCTCACTGGAATGGAGTTGAGAAGCTAAAAGGGGGGGTCCCTACCCCTCAGCTTCAGTCACAGGAACAGTTGTCAGTTACAGTGCCGGCAGAAGAGCCTCCACGTGCGAGAATCCTCAGTGACAGGTCCCGACAGGAAAAGATGTACTTTGCGTCTCTTACCGGGAACTGGCCACCTGTGCAATGCAGCTAATGAGAAATGACTGTCACCCCGAACTCCTGCCTTTCTCCAATGGACTTTTGTTCAAAACAGCCCCTTCCCATTTGTTGGACGAGCCTGTGCAGTTTTTAGCAGCTTGCTTGCTCCCCAGTGTAATTCTCTGCTATTCCTGAACAAACCCATTTCAGCTGGTAACATAATGGCTGTATTTTCAGGGTCAGCTAGCCACATCGTTTATGCAAATGCTTCGGCCCAGTGGGGCACCATTATCACCTGGTGGTGGGAACCCCCTTGACTTCCACGTTCTCAGACACCAGCCGACTGTAGGAGCACGGGTTCTAAGGAAAGCAGTCAGGACTTACCTCAACTCTCTACACAGTTGTAAGATAGTGAATATTTTCAGAATTAAAGGCCAGACAGCTTCTACTGTGGTGCAAAAGCAGCCGTAGACAACGTGGAACTGATGAGCATGGCTGTGTTCTGGTAAAACTTTATTTCAAAACCAGGTGGTATGTGGGGCGCCTGGCTGGCTCAGTCGGTGGAGCATGTGACTCTTGATCGCGGGGTCGTGAGTTTGAGCCCCACTGTGGGCGTAAAGCTTACTTTAAAAAAAAAAAAACCTTGGGGCACCTGGGTGGCTTAGTCAGTTAAGCGTCCGACTTTCGCTTGGGTCATGATCTCGCGGTTCGTGGGTTCGAGCCCCACGTCGGGCTCTGTGCTGACTGCCAGCTCAGAGCCTGGAGCCTGTTTCAGAGTCTGTCACTCCCTCTCTCTCTGACCCTCCCCTGCTCACGCTGTCTCTCTCTCTCTCTCTCTCTCCTAGAAATAAATAAAAATATTAAAAATAAATAAATAAATAAAAACTTAAAAAAATTAAAAAAAACAGGTGTGATGGATTTGGCCCATGAACCATAATTCGCCAATATTGGGTATCGAAGAATGTCCTTATTTTCAGGAAATATCTATGTAAAGTGGTAATAGTGACGCGTCATGATATCTGGAAGTTAATTCAATAAATAATCATGCGTGGTAGGAAAGCAAATGTGGCAAACTGTTAGCAAAGGCTGACATTGGCAAAGGGGGACAGGAATACAGGGGTGTGGTGCCGTCTTTTCCCAACGTTCTCTATTTTTGGAGATTTTCATGAAAAGAGTTGGGAAATATTTTAGAAACTGGTTTTAGAATCAGAATGAGATCTTTCACCAGCTATCTAGGTCCCATTGATAAACAGCAATGCAATAAACAAGACAAGGTTGGTCACGAAGTGACGCACCCTCGTGCTATCCAGACAGAAGGCAGAAGACAACCAAACCTGAAGAAAAGAGCGACTTTAATAAACACACAGGTAAGTTGTGAGGCGAAATTTCAACAACAAAATGCAATGACAGGGCACCTGGGGGACCCAGTCAGTTGAGCGTCCGACTTCGGCTCAGGTCATGATCTCATGGTTCGTGGGTTCGAGCCCCGCGTCAGGGTCTGTGCTGACAGCTCAGAGCCTGGAGCTACTTCAGATTCTGTGTCTCCCTCTCTCTCTGACCCTCCCCTGCTCACGCTGTCTCTCTCTCTCTCAGAAATAAATAAAACATTAAAAAAATTTTTAATGCAATGAAATGCACCAATATATAACTAAAATAGGCTTTACCGTATATACAGCTATTAGATACTGGCAGCTAATAAAAGATTTGTATCATGTCCATTTACCAAAATAATAAAAGTGCTATGTTCTAAATGCAAAATTATCAGGGGTTCCTGGGTGGTTCAGTCCGTTGAGTATTGGACTTCGGCTTGGGTCATAATCTTGCAGTTGGCGGGTTCAAGCCCCATATCGGGCTATCTGCTGTCAGCAAGGAGCCTGCCTCAGAACCTCTGTCTCTGTCTCTCTCTGACCCTCCCTTGCTCTCTCTCTCTCTCTCTCAAAAATAAACATTTTTAGAAAATGCAAAATTATCCCTCTTTGGGAAACTTTTCAAAATCTGTTGGGCATTGCAGGCAAGAACCAGCAATGGATAATAAAATTAGAGGCAAAAGTATGATAGAGAAAAGTGATATTTGCATTGTCTCAAAGGTACTTAGTGGTTACAATAGGAAAGTGGTAACTTTATTCAGGATGAAAGTCAACGTCACCAGTGATAAAACACACGGATACCGGGCACCTTCCCTAAGGGGCTCTGGAAGGGCACAGCATCACTTTGGTGGTGATGAGAGAGAAAACCCCTCTGAAGGCCTGATTTACGGGGCGGCGGGGGGAGCGTTTACATTACTTTCTCAGTCAGCCTGACTATACCTCGTGTGTGTGGGCCCAGAGCCTGATTCACGGCCGCGGCCCCGCGCTGCGCACCTGCTCCGGGAACGAGGAAGCTGCACAGGGAAGTCGTCTTGTCCTTGAGCCGCCGCCCAGCGCTGCTGCCGCCCCTGGTCCTTCCCGCCACACTCGTGACTCCTGCCTGGACGCTGCTCTGTGTCTCACACGGTGCCTAAGAGCATATAGCTGTAAAAACTGTTCATTCTCCGAGCACTTCCTTCCCTGTGAAGATGGTGTTTTCCGGACAGCCGTCCTCACCCGGGCTCGAAGGAATCTCTCTTTCTTTCTTTGAGAGAT